AGACAGAGACAGAGACAGAGACAGAGACAGAGACAGAGACAGAGACAGAGACAGAGACAGACAGACAGGAAAAATCGGCTCAAGCTGCTCAAGTTTACTCTGCTCTTGACTTGAAAAGGGTAGGCGGAAACCAATCCTCCTTTTCTTTTGCAGTACTCGCTACTTGTTAACTCTCGCCTTTTCACGCAGCTCCCCCGCGCGATGGTAAAGCCCTTTCTGCATCAAGTGCATCTCCTTGCTCAGCTTGGGTACCAAGCAAATGCACTTGCAACCAGTCCAATTAAAAAAGAACAAGTGGCAATGGTCGATTTCGGCACCATTGCTTTCTAACTCTCGAAGGCATACAGTAGTTCGTACAGCCTCTGCGGCAAACTTTTCCCCAGTGGTGGCCAGCGGTAACAGAAGAAACAGAAGTTGAATGTAGACCTCATCTCAGGGCACAACAAGGACGCTCTAAGTGATTGCGCTGGTTGCTACCTCTTGGTTCTGGCGCACAAAGCTCTGGAAACCGTTGAAGCTGATGCCACCTTAATAAAAATGACTGAGCCAGGATGTCAGGAGGATCTCAATTGTTTGCGCCATCAGTTTGCTGAGCTAAGCTTCTGGCTTTTGACAGAGGTCCTCAAGCTGGCCTGGGTAGACTTATTGTTGCAAACTCTCTTGCAAGCCCAAAGGCTCCCAAAAGGTATCAACATTCAATCAAATTAGTATAGTCAAAAGCCCCTGAGCTTTCCGGTCTTCAAGGGACACGAGAAAAGCAACTTGTGATAAAGAAGGAACAGCATACCGGCCTCGCTCCGAGCAAGGGCAGCGAACACAAACCTGATGTCCAAAGGCATCATATGCAGGACGTGTTTGCCGAGGATAAAAACAGCAGGTACAGTATGCACAATGGTTTGAGGGCCTGGCTCTGCTACGCCTTGGACGTCTTGTTCCAACTTTTCTTGTTCGCCTGCTCCTTTTTCTTCAAAGAAGTTTCGAACTGATTGAAATACGCTTTCTTTTGTCAAAGGCTTCTGCGAGGCATCATCTTTAAACCGCAAAGCTGCTCCAGCATCATGGCTTACTCCCTCATAACCAGTCACGGCACAAAACACAATCCGGCATAGCAGCTCTGATGAGACATGTCGAAAGCTTCCTTGAGACGGCTCGGGATTCAAAGCTTTCACAAAGCGGTAGAATACTTCAAATGGAAGGGTTGTCAGAAGCTGCCACGCTTCTTCCTTCTCATCTTCATGCTCAGTCTCCAGGACTCTTTTTCGGGATGCACAAGGCACAGACAAAAAGAGATGCTTGGCAACACGTTCCACAGTTTCTCGGCGGCGCACACCAAATATTGCAAGAAAGGAGCTGAAATTTTTGAAAGTCATTTGAGTAGGCGCTACTGAGTTTAAAATCTCCACTCGAGCTCGAGCTATTTCCTCAAATGCAGACTTGGATCTATTGATGCCTTCTTCCTTGGCCTTGTTCCAGAGGATCTTGGATTTCATCATTGCCAGGCTACTGCTCCTCAACATGACTTGATTCAAGTTCAAGTCTTTCAAGCTTGTTGGATATTCCGCTTCATCTTCTGTGGTGCCAGTTTCAGAGCTTGTTGCACTGCTGACATTCCCCTCCTCTGCAAAAACATCCCAAACTCCCATGTCAAATACCCTTTTGTTAAGCTTCTTCATGTACCGTGATGTGACGTCTCTAACATTGCGAGCAGAGAGGCGTCTGGGGACTGTCTCAGTCTGACCTGAAGCAGCTGAGGTTTTCACAGTCTGTCCAGATTGTGGTTCCGAATTGAAGTTCTGCTGTAAATTCCAAATAAACTTAAAGCTTTCCAACCATGCGGTGAAGGACTCATCATTGAGATTTTGAGCTTTGAGGCGATGCGCAAGATCTAGTTGGCCAGCACCAACACCTGCCAAGCCAGCTTCCTTGAGCACATTCCGTGTCTTCTGCAACTCACATCGCTCTTCTTCCAAAATTGCATCTTTGCACTGTCTGCGAAGCACTCGTACGATCTCGGGGCGTTTCAAGCTCGGTGCTGAGCAAGGTCGCGACAGCGCCACGCATCCCTTTGATCTCCTTGTGCTTTTTGTGCTGATCCGGGATGCAGTGGACACAACACATGAAGGAGGGCTTGGAGGAGACACATCCTCTCGCCGTTCTGGCAAGGATGGAAGCACTATTTCATCAGGGGCATCTGAAAAGTGCTGAAATATCCGAAACCACTGGTGAACCAACTCGATTGGGTCTTCATGGGTCACAACCAGGTCATGAAGTAGGTCATCTGTGAGTTTTTGTCTTCGCTTGCGCACTTTCAAAGCACCGGAATCAGATGAATGAGCAACTTGGCGCCACAAAATTGCAGTACTTCCCTGGGCACCTGCTTGCACTAATCTTGCTGCGCTCTCCTTCTTTCTCTTACTTGGCTTGGAACCTTGCGGCTCTGCCGTTGCAAGCTGATATCGTCCTGTTGCTCTGAGAGCCACATTGCGGCCAAACTCATATTCATAGCTATCTAAGCCAAGCACAAATGGAAAGGAGTAAATTGCACCTTTGGGAAGCACTGACAGTGGCATCCTCTTTTCGGGCTTCTCCACTTTTGTGGTGCCCTTGGATGGGCTGCGGCTCCCTTTGGCACTGTCATCACACTGTCTCAAATGAAGCATTCGATTCCTCCAAAGAACATGTAGAACGCAAGTACTTGTAGTACATACAAAAACCATGAAAAACACCAGCAATGTCTTGTTGTTCGAAGTAAATGCATCCATTGTAAAGTTTGTCATGTGTCTGTGTGTGTGTTGTCGCAGTTCATGGTGTCATGCTCTAGGTCCATTTGAGCTAGCTCAAACCAATAAGCTACAAAAGAAGCCAAGGAATCTATGGAATTTATGGCACGTGCCAGTGCTTGCAAGACGCCACCACAGAATCTTAGGGCGGGTCTCAGACTGAATATGATGGTTTGCCAAGCCGCAAAAGCTGCCCAAAACGATACGAAGAACAAGATGAAGCCCATGAACCCAAATCCAAACCACTCTTACATGACATGACACTTTTGTGGAACACTCTTGTAGACACTCTTGCTTGGCACTGTTTGCATGACACTCTTGTAAGAAACCCTTGGGCGACACACTTGTGCGACGCTCTTCTGGTACCATTCTAAGACACTGTTGTGGGACGCTGTTGTGGGACGCTCTTGTCAAGCAGGACGCTCTTGTCGACACTCTTGCCCGACACTCTTGTTGGACATGTTGCGGCGTGATACTCTTGTTCGACACTCTTGAGCGACACTCTGACTCTATTGTCCAATTTCAGGAAAATTTGTGCCACGCTCTTGCTTGACACACTTCTGGGTCACTTTGGCGCGACACTCTTCAGGCGAATCTACCACGTCACCAGGCCAGCCCATCCAAGACCTCCTCCAAAAGCTTTTCCAATGAGAGGGCCATAGCGCGACACCCGGCAACGCTGACAACAGTTGCGAACGGTTCTGCCACGTCATGCGAACACAGCTCTGACGAGACCGCTTCACGAGACTAGTCCGTCTTGATATGGGCCTCAGCATCTACAATCACATCCATCTCTCCTGGCACACAATTCTGCACCAAAAGACACGTTGTTGTTTCTCTACTTGAACTGTCTTAAAGCCCACCTCCAAGTACGAGGACAGGTTTGGTACAAACTGGAACTGGCAAAGACCTCCACAAACTTCAAGCTGCGGTTCAAAATTGCACAATTCTGGTTGCAAACACAGGGCTTGTACATCAAGTTGCCAAACATGTATTCACCGAAACCGTGATCACATGTGCGAGTTCAGTTCATTCAATTCTCTTGCGCAGCTACAAATTGTAAAAGCCGCAAGCAGGTTCCGTTTTAACTGAAAGCAAGTGGCCCCTGGAGCTGTCGCAAATCCAGTAAACGAGTTCCAGGCGGACATCCTGCAAAACTTCACACACCGCGAACTCTGCAATCAAAGTAGCCCAGACTTTGCTTTTTGATAGCAATGATGTTGAAAAATTGCTTGATCTTGTGTCCTTTCTTCATGAGCTCCATGTAATCTCCAACATCTGCCAAAGACGTCTCTTTGTCGAAGAAAAGCTGCAAGCGCAACGATGCATTTGCTATTCTTATGATTCCTATCTTGAAATCTCCAAATGGGACTACTGATTAGGTTCACTAGGTATTGTGGATGGCCATGACATACTACTGTACTACTGTAGAATACATCTCACAATCGAAAAGAAAAAAGGAGAAACTGTAGAGTCTTCAAGCGTGCCTCCTGGCAAAGTTTTGCATCACGTTCAAAGGCACGGCTTATGAAGCCCCATGTGATGCGAAAGGCTTGGAGAGGAGCTCGAAGCAGACTTCGTAGAATGATACCAACATTTCCACTGGGAGGCACACTGCACAATAGGACAAGCCCAGCAAGCATGTCGAGATCTGCCGCAGCCTTTAGGGTAATCAGACCTCCAAAGCTGTGGCCTAGCAAAATGACTCGTTGACCTTCCTTTTCCAGCTGCCGCACAAAGGAAGCAACATCAGAAGCATGCTCCTCCAAAGTGCCTGCAACGGGGAGCTGATCTGGCATCTTGCCTTGTCCTTGTCCTCTTAACGAAAGTGCATATGCATTCAAGCCATGCTCCCGAAAGAAGTCCAAATAAAATGCCTCATAGCACCAAGCGGCATGATAGCTACCATGGATACAAACAAGGCTTACCCTGCTGACTGAGTCTTTTGCTTTACCGCCAAGAACTTCCAATGCAACTTTGTCATTGGGAAGAGTGAAGAGATCGTCAGTCAACACAGTGCGTTCAACTCGCTTGCGGTTCCTGGCCCTGAACCTTTTCAGTGAGCGGTACATCTTGATAGCCACAATGCCGACGGCTGTGGCGCTCCCTGATGATCGCCAGCAAAAGTGTGGATTCGTTTGGTATGCCTTCATGGGGGGAATACTTGGAGTCAAAGATCCGTCGAGCGATGGAGCGCTCATCCGAATCGCCAGCGCCATGGTCGCGAGGCTCAGCTTTGTCTGGTATGCACACACAAGCTAGTTCACAAGCAAGCAAACCAGCCCTTCATGAATGACGAGAGGTGTTTTGCACTACCGTTGCATGATTGCATTTGAGGCATTACTAGTTGGGCTTCCAGGTCCCCTCAAGTGCCCTACAGGTCATGCAAGCCAAAATGTCAAGCCGAATCGAAGTTGAAGCATAAAAGCACGGACATGGGACAATCCAGGCCCACAACCTTTCCACGATACATCAAGCTGACGGAATTTGGCCACATAAAAAGAATGGCACTATGTACACACTCGGGAAGAGTGCTAGGGCAAACAATCAAACCGGATACATCTAGGTCTCAGAAGCTTCAGAAGTCTGAGGCAGCAATTTCCTGTGCACAGAAAGAAGCTAGACAACATGAAAGGTATTCGTTGAGTCATTGAAACTCCGCCTCGCAGCGAAGAGTGTAAGCCAGACAAAGTAGTGTTATCAAACATCAGTTGGTGAGGAGCAATGTTGTTGTAGTGATGCTGTAAATGCACATTGACATGAATAATGAATTAACCAGTAGCATCATCAAAAAACATGATACAAAATGCCAATTGTTCTGCAATCCACAATTTTCATTCTATGTAGTGCAAAGCAACCAAAAATACCCAATCAACATAATAGACGGTTTGAAGCTACAGGGTACATCTGCTCTGTACGACTGATGCTGCCAGCTAACGGACATGATTTGAACAAGAGCTACTTGTGTGGGATGACGGTTTTGTTTGATGCGTGCATCCTTCCAACATTGATGACAAAGTTGCCAAAAGACTTGGCGAATCCTTTCTCCTTGAGAGATGCATGGGGACCAAGTGGAAGAGATGCGAGGGTTGAGACTTGACTAGACAAATTTGTAAGCCTCAAGAAACTTTCGCACCAATGCACAAGTCACGAGTCAAAGAATGCTGCTCACTCAAAAATGAACAAGGTGCAACGGTGCAACGCACAGTGTGTTTATGGTGCACTTTCAATGTTCAAAACCTACACCGGCCCCCAGTAGCAAAGCTTCATGTTGATTAGCGGCATACAACCAAAGCACCAAAGGGCCGCCTATTTTCAAGGAGATCAAAACAACAAAGCAACCCAGGAAGGTATACTACCTCAGAAGAGCAGGGGGCAAAAAGATTGCCACACTCCTGTCGAAGCTGTTTCTGCTGTGTAGGGGGCTCTCTTGCCGCACAGTGATGTGAATACCAAAACAAAGCAATCCAATATCTGAGTGTGTTGTGCCTCAACTGCCATGGCAATGCGCGCTGCACGCGCAGCATAAACTGAAGGTCAACCTCCTCTGCAATGTGTACAGCTGGAGACCTGCAAAGACTAATTTCTGCATGAACTGCCAAAGGAAGGCAAGGACACACTTGTCAAACTTTTCATTAAATTTATTTAACGTTGCGAGCTGCTGCGAGCCGCCTCAGTTCAGGATCACGTCGAAGCCATGCACCTGCTCGCATACGTCCATCATGAGAGCCGGCAAGTCGGTAAAATGGCCTTGTGAGGGTCAAAAGAATCCAGTCTAAAACATGGTATGTGTTTACATGATACATGTAATATAGGATAATATGCATGGCCAAAACCGCCAAACAGGTGCCAAGTGCCAAGGTACGTGAACCATTCGCTTTTCATACATAACCTCAAGAGCATGGAATCTCTTGATATTGTACAGGCGAAATCTCCGCATCTGTTTCACAACAAGTTCTTGGCACCAAGCATATCGAAAGCAACGAACGCACGGCGCAGTTCGAGTGGCATCCATTCCTTTTTGAGAACCTGCGGAACAGTTCCACCAGCAAGAAGGTCATAGAAAAAACATGCAAAGGCAGTGAGTGGTAGCCAATGCTCTGCTCAACAGATACAACCAAAAGGGCTGGATTGGAAGGAGCAGAGCAAACACAATTCAAGCCACCATCACCTAGATCTACACAACACGTCAAGCACACAACAGTCATGCTCGAAAGGACAAAGTGGCCTGTTGGACATCTCGCTTTCTCTTCCTCAAGTACTGCTCAAAACCAATGAACCGCCGCCTGAAGTCCTTCAGTGCATTGTGGTTAAGAACAAGCTTTGATGCATGTGCGCATGTCAGACCAAAATTCGTGAACTTTTAAAATAGTGGCACAAGGAGACCAAAGCAAGACCAACACCAATTTGGAAACACAAGGACCAGGAAAACCATACATATATAAACTTCTAGAGAGATGATTCCTCTGTGAGTTGAAACTGTTTCATGTGGGAGTACAAAAATAGAACGCGCATAGAAGCTGCTGATGCATTTCCCAACTGGCCCTCGAAGGCCTTGAGAAGCTGTTGGAAAAGAAAGAGAGCTTGGATTTTTTGGGGCTGAAGTTGAAAGAGTTTGGAATGTGTTTGGTTGTGGACCATGCCCTCTTACCAACAAATTATGAGACCAAATTGTTCAATCACTTTCACCTTCACCACCTCAATCCACGTTGCGCACAAATGGCGAGATGGAGCCTGATGGCGCTGCCACCTATGCAGGAGCTGTGGAGGGAGGGAGAAAGGAAAGAAGGCAAGAACCACCACAGGGAACCTGGATTCGGGTACGGCCCTTGCCTTGGCTCCACTGTATTCAGGAACAGTTGAAGGCATCAAGAGACGCTGTCCGAAAGGCTGACAGGTCCCGAAAGGCTGACAGGTCTTCGGTATGCTTGCGCCGCCTGCCTTATCAGGAACCTCAGGGCCAGGACACCACATGATCAAGCGGCCTGACTTCTTGAAGGAAGAGGAGAAAAGCTATGGAAGAGGGAAGGAGCAAAGATGGGAAGTCAAGCGAAGAGGAAGGAGGAGTCTTTATCGCCCACCACCAGAACATTTCAGGATCGACTTCGTGAAGAAAAAGAAAACGCAGATCTCCCAGGAAGTCAAGGCCTTGACGGAATTTTGTCGCTCAAAGCAGGAAGAGAACGATCTACTGCGTCAAGAACTCTATGAAAGAAGGATCGTTGAAGAGGTTGAGAAAGAATGGAAAAAAGAAGGATTGACCCCTTTGAACGACTTCCACCTACAATACCTCCCGCATGGTCTGGTCCTATCGACAGGCCGCCTATGGTGGAAAGGTCTATGGGAAGGCATCTATGTCCGGCAAAGAAAAAAATTGTTGGGAACAAATGGAGGTCATTATACACTGAGTCATGACCCTACTCTACTGGTTGAGAGCATGAAACTCTTTCAACGGCAGATTTCTGAAGGGCATGACTCACAGTGCACCATCAAAGGGCAGTCGTCTGCCAAGTTGCACAACTTCCAACTTTGGGTCAATCCAAGGAAGTACCGCACAACTACAGTTAGGGGGTTGGCTACTTCTGGCGCAACCAGTGGTTGCTGACTTGACGGCCGACCTCTGGTGGGATCAGACTTTGAAGGAGGTGGAACTTGCTGATCAAAACCGGACATGTCAAGTACAAGTACAACGAGTACTATCTGGCTCAAAAGGCCATGTCTGGAGTCATTACAACGCTGGGGGTTGCGCCATGATTCAATGATGGAGTGTTGAGGAAAATGAAAACGATGACACATGACGATCAACAGTACTTCACGCAGTCCGCAGCAGAACCGAATCTATGGGCCCTATGAAGATGATGATAACAAAGAGAGGGGAGACTTGAAGAGATATCTGCCGGCGCATGTCGACGACCCTTCAAAAGAAATAGGCACCAAAAAAAGGTTGGGTCTAGCTGGCCAAGAGGTCTGGAGGTTTTCACGGACTCCAGGTTCGCCGCCAACGCTGAGACGCAGGCATCTCACGGCTCCGTTGTGGTGACTCCTGGAACGGAGTGATAATGTTCCGGAAGAATGGGAAACAACCGCTCCCAGCTCTCAACAGCTGAATCTGAACTCCTGGAGGCGATTGAAGGACTTCAAACAAGAGACGCTGTTGACTGCTTGATAAATGAGCATGAGGACCGTTGTTGTTTTCTTGTATGGGTCCTTACAAGAAAACAACAACGTTCATTGGAAATCACGTTCAGTGGCGCATCGCAAATCTTGATTGGAGGGCGCGTCACGTACCTGGATCAATCATGATTGCCGACCTCGGCACCAAGGCCCTCACGATCCAAACGGGAGCTGAAGGAGCTCATGATGATGGTTCTCCAAGAAGAGGGTGAAGGAAGATTTCACGAGGAAGGCCCAGAGGCAGCAAGATTCAAAGACGACGTGGGCAATGAAGTTTGAAAAGGAAGATTTAAAGGTGATGATCCTGCACAGACGATCTTGGTCATCCTCGCCACCCTGGCTGTGCGTCACCTGCTGATGTGGCTTGCGGCTCCAAGACAACGTGGCGCTGAGGACCTCCAGAACCTCGACCGCCCACCAAGGTCCTAGGTTCAAGAGGAACAGCAGCTGATGTGGATCATTGCTGCATGGACGCCGGAACAGCGTATGGAAGCCGGACTCAATGAGCCTCTGCTGAGTTCAAGTCCAATCTACAGTCCCTTGCTCTGATGTCAGCCTGGGAAGAACTTAGGAAGAACCGGAACTAACAAGAGGCTGTTCAGGAGGAAGAGACGCTATACAATCCTACAGAGAAGGACTACCGGGATATCAGAGCTGACGAAAGTTGGGATCCAAACTCATCGAGTCCACACCGGAATGAACCCTCACAAGCCGCAGCCAAGACTATTCCAAGAGTCGTTTAACCTGCGGGGGCTCTGTCGACTGTCACCTTGAGGTTTTGTGTTTTGAGGAATTCACCATGCCAGGCAAGGAATCTGGCGCCGAGGCTGGGCCGAAATCTATCAGCAGGACGCTCCGAATCCTCCATCTTGCGCCACTGGTGGTGAATAGCGCAACAGTTGAGGAACAGGAGCCTCAACATGTGAAGATGAAGGTGAGGAGGGGGATAAGCAGAAAAAGAAAAAGGGAATCAAGAGATTCCTAAAGCCAGCTGCGTTTTTCCACAAGGCCTGGTTGGTGCACTACGGATGATATGATAACCACAAGGGTTGGTGAAGCACCGAATGACTTGGATGCTTGGGTTGAGCTGCTTGGTGCCACAAGGCCGGGCTGCGGAAAGAAAAGAGGAGTTGCTTGACTGGAAGTGACGCGTGCCTCAGTTACGCACCAGTGTAGGAGGGAACATTGTTTTGTGCGTCACAATGGTTTTGACTAATTGCCGGCGAACGAACGCTGCGAAGAACAAAAGGGTTTGGGCTGATGAACGGTTGAAGTGTCCGATCAACGGGTGGTACAATAGCTCCAAAGAAGCTAAGGGGAGTGCTGGTGCATTTCCCGAGACGTTTGCTTTCATGCGGGTCATCGCATTTGCAGCCCTTTTTACGTTTCAAGAGGGAAGAAAATTCCCAACTGGCCCTCGAAGGCCTTGAGAAGCTGCTGGAAAACAAATAGAGCTTGGACGTTTGGGACTGGAGAGTTTGGAATGTTTTTGGGTGTGGACAATGCCCTCTTGCCAACAACAAACAGGTGCAGAGTTTTTGGGATGCAGTAAAGTTCCAGCACCGAAACTATTACACAAAGCAAAAAATAATCTTTGTTCTCGTCGCTTGTCCTCCAAAAGCTGCTTTTGCAACTCCACTCGCTTTTCCGGGCTCAAAGTCTCCAGCTCTTTGCCCAACGTGGGTACCGAGCAGGGCCTGAGTGCCCCGAATTCAACCAATCAGCAAAAAAACAGTTCTTTTAGCCGCACGCCAAATCTTAGAGTCAGGTGTGAGGTTTACTGTGTGTATACAAGCCTGAGGTTTCTTAATTTGTTCTACTTAGCAGGGGGCAAGGTCTCCAGCGAATTGTCCAACGAAGCTATAGTGATGGACAACAACTTGGAACAAAAAAGTTTTTCCAAAATCCAAAGCCCTTTACTTGGAATCAAAAGCCATGCCTGCAAAAAATCCAGGCTTAGATATATTGCCATGTTCCTAGTGTTTGTGTTAGAACATGCCCAACCCCGTGTCTTAGAACACCTGCGTCACTTAGAACATCATTGTTAGTTAAGCATGCTTAGAGAGTCACAGAGTTTATTCATCAACTGTGCACTCTCTCGTGTTCATATCCCTTCTGAAAGGACAATTTTCCTGAATGTTCTAACTCATTACTCGGAACGTTACATTGTTACAATGTTCTTAGCCTTACGCTTAGAACATCCCTTAACAGGGCAACTGTTGAAAATGTGTCTTTCCAAGCGATGTTCTAAGTGGTTGTCCCTCGCTATAAACCGCTGGAGGGCAAGCGGATGGAGACGTCCATTCGTGTACCCGCTATGTTTGTGAGTGGTGTAATCACCTTCCACTCGTAGAGGTTCTCAGGGTGTTGCAAGACGATTCAGGTCTGCAAATGTGCACTCGCCGCTCGCTCTCACCGTTTCTCAATCATGTGGCAATTCTTTGGAACTTGAAGACTTGGGTTTTGAAAACTTTTAGAAAAATTGGAACTTTCGGCTCCTCGGGATGGTTGGAGCGCTTTGCATTGTCTCCGTTTCCTCAGGCCCCTTTTTTCACTTATATAGGCTTCCGTGTGGCATGCGGCATTCATATAGTTCGTACTTTTATCCTGAGTGTGTCTGCCGCACAGTCTTCAAGAAGCAATGTGGAACATTGCAGACATTGGTTTGCGACCAGCTGCACATTGTTCAGCTACACATGACACACTATATGTTATCCATTCATATGTTGTATTGGTCAAGACTGGCTCAGCAATAGAGTGGGTTTATATGCTGGAGCGAACATGTCCTTGTTGGGCATTCTCTGAAAGCTAATGGAGATTAATGGTATTCCCTATGGGACTTACAAGCCTGCATGCATCATTTTGGCCGCAATCCCTTGATTCGTTTGAGGGGCCTAGACCCCGCACCTAACGTGGCATCGTAACTAACCAGACATTCTTGGACCTTGCGGCCTTGCACTATTCAGGAGGACTCGGCTGAAATCTTCAATTGCGCTTTGCTTGATACTTGAGACATCCTCTGTAACTGACATGGGAAATTTCCTCGGGCATGCAGAAAAAAAGGGCAGAGGGTTACACGGGGATACTCCTAATTGTTGTGTTGCATAGGATTTGCGCATCTGACACACGCGAAGCTGTCATATTTACATACATCTGCACAACACCCACGTGTGAACATAGAGAAGATAAAAGTCTTGAATCTTGAAGATTAAGTACAGATGGACAAATGATGCAAACCACGGCACAAAAACAAAAATAACTAAGTATCTAACAAACCCACGAGAATCAGCTGTTTGTTTATCCTGTCTTTTCGATGCTTTTCTGTGGCCAACTTTTTGCATAGTCGCTTTGCTTTGTTTCCTTCTGTTTGCTTAATTTTCTGAGTGACTGCTGTGCTTTCTCAGAACCCAGATATTGTTCAATTTAGGGCATTGTGTCTAAAACGGCCTTAGTTCCATCCTTCGGTAAGCCCACAACGTCCAGAAACAGCCGCTGAGGAGGCCAACCCTCAATGATTTGTAGAGCGTTTTGCCCTTGGAGAGGTGAGTTCACTTGCAATGACAACCAAAGACCATCAAGAATGGTAAAAAAAATAGAAAGTGAGAGTGAATGAGAGGTGGCCTGTTGACCAAAGAAATGTCTTGACCCATTCAGTTGGCGAAATTGTCAGCAATTCAGGGTTGACATGCTTTGTGTACTGTAAATGTCAGAGAGGGTTTGTTATACGGCAGAGATATGACCACCCGCTTGCCTCCCAAGCGATGTGCCTCCCAAATGAAACCCTAGATGGGACAGGGGCTGGGATGTCACAGGCGCCTGCTAGATCACAAGATAAACAATGCAATTCATCATGCAGGACGAACACACTAGCACCAGTATTCTGAGCATGTATATCCCGCGTAACTTAGATAGATAATGTCTAATATATAGGTGGAAACACCAAAGAACAAAGCTAACAAACTCCTTTTTCCAAGCTCCGCCTGCCTCCCACTGATGCTGGGAAATCCAATAAAGAACTTCCTGTACGCAATGTTGATCTCTTTCCTGTTGGGTCATGAATGTGCTCAGATCCTCTCCTGAACAGCTGTGAACGAACGAGCCTTAAAGGGAATAAGGTTTCTTGTTGCTCTCGGATAATCTCCTTGAGAGCCTTCTCCAACATGTTGCTCCTCTGCATGAGTACAGACAGAAAGAATCTCCAATCAATTGCAACTGCGCCCCAAACACATCAGAATCAAGGCCCTTGTCAATATTGTTCTGCACAAAGGACCAGATAACTCAATTCATTGAATGCTCATTGAAGCAACTCAAAAGAGATGAATTCGCACTCTCCTTGGATATTTCTGCACAACCTTTTTGGTGCCACCTGGCTCAAGTACATTGTTGCGGTAGTTTGACACTGGCTCTTTTCCAATTCACTTGCAAGTGTCCTTGAATAGAAGGCCACCTTGCTGAAGCGTGTGCAGCGTCAGTTTGGTGTCTAAAACACCCGCCTTAGATGAACAACGCACACTAAACCCCGACTATTCGCCCAATCATGCATTGATCATGCCCCAATGTGTTCAAAGCAGCAGTCACCCGCAGGCTTTGGGGCCTGCATAGATGGCAATGCAAATGCGGGTGTTAACGTACAGTAGTTCTTTTGTGCATAGAGTCATTGGTTTCCTTGACTGAGATGGGGTCATTTCAGTGAAAAAGCTGTTTGCAAGACCAAAACCTATCACTTGCAATACAAAACTACAGAACTGGCGTCTCAGACCGTCTTGACAGCACGATCTAGATACGGTTGGATCGACTTTCTTCCACCGCATCGGTTCAAGGTAACGAATCGTATCACACAACAGGTGCGGATGGAGCAAAGTGTGATGAAACAACGCGCTGTTTATGCTAGAGCCAAGTTGCAACCACAGAAAACAGCACATACAACAGAAAACACTGAAAGGAGATTGAATTCTTGAAACAATCGGGAACGGTGTGACGCTGAATATGCACGAGGGCAACACAAAGACATGGCTGGATTCAGTATGGCTGGTGGATTCAGTATGGCTGGTGATGTCTGAGTCGTTGAATCGGTGAACTTGAACAACCAAAACTCCAGACATGAGAGTACGGCAACCGGCAACGTGTTTGACCAATGCAGACCCACAGAGTTGTTGATTGTGTTTGGCACCAACAGCGAACAAAACATTGATCGCGAGAAGCACCCTTCGAAGGCTGGGTATTGAACATGTTAAACCTGGCTTTCGAGAACCAGCGGAAAACACAGGCCGCAGGCCGTTGAAGTGGAACAAAAGCGACATCTCTGCGGGAACAAAGCAAACATTCCGAAGTGCACCTTTGAAACATGCGACTAAACGACGCGGCGTATCTGCGTGAAGGCTTGCACAAAGCGAGCATTCCAAGCGACACATGGCAGCACCCGTCAAGAATTGTGTCGCAGCAGCCTTGAGGCTGCCAGCGGGGCGATTACAGTAATGGGTAGTGTCGATGTCCATTCTAGCATGGCCCAGTCATTCATAGTTTCGGTGACAAGCGATATGTGGTCCCGGTTGACTCAACTAACACCAGAAGTTTCACCATGCCCAATGCCCAGCCCTTTGGACTCTAAAGATTCCAAACGTTTCATGCTCTCGTGCAAGTCGAATAGGCAAGCGCTAAGGATCTCCAAAAACGCTACACCGAAAACATCCGTTTCAGGACCTACGCTTAGGGAAGAGCGCTCCAACAAGGTCACACCCGGCGAACTCTTGGGGCGAGGCCGGCGAGGCCGAGGCAAAGATCTGAACAGCCCTTTGCTCCGTTCATAGCGATGTCATGCTCCTATAGTAGTAAGGCCAGGAGCCCCTAGCAGCGTCCTTACTCCTAGTAGCAATGCCCTTTGTTCTTAGTAGCGTTCTTGCCAAAAGCAAAACATGAAGAAATCTCTGCGCGATCGGGTAAACACTCGACTGTGCCATCGAGCAAGTCACTCACCGCGTTCATTTTGCCAAACCTGCAATGTTCTGCTCAATGTATCTTGTGCTCTCCGTCAGCATCTCCAACAGCATACTGTATCATGCCCTAAGGTTTTTGGGACATAGAATAAGCACAGCGGACTCTCCCAATTGCTCAATTTTGGGAGCAAGTTACCCAACACCCAAATTCAGTCGGGTCATATGGAGGACCCTCCGGAAGCTATTTGATCGTTCGTTGAAACCTGGGTTCCAACAATCTACTCATCAAGAGTTCAGCACTCAGCTTCACCATCGGTTTTCCAGCAACTGACTAGCTGACTAGCTCTATCGCATATGACCTTCCCCACAACCCTTCGCACGATTCAAATGACCCCATCTGAACCAATGACACATTTTGGCCACCTGTAAGTAAGGTTCAAACTGTATGTTTGAGGGGGATGGAAGAGAAAGTAGTTGGAGGATGTTGGTTTGACTCGCTGAAAGCCTCCCAGATGGTCAAAAGGATATCATTTGACTCAGTGGAAGGCCCCAGATGGTCCACATCAAACGTGGAGCATCGGAGGCTTTCGCTGTGCCTTAGACAGAGCCTATGGAGGTGCCATTGGAAGTTCTTGCCACAAAAGTGCTGGACAGGGAGGAAGGGTGGGGAGGATGGTTATTTTCCCGCAAACCACAAAAGGAAGATGTTGCCAAGTGCCAAGTTGCCACTGGACATTTCAAGTAGCGTGTAAGTTCGGATTGGCACCAAAACAACCCAAGACCACACGGTGGGCGGCAGCAGCAGAAGCAGCAAACTAAAAGGGACCTGCTCTGCCCTGTAGGGCTCCCACATCCAAGCAGCATACCCAGCGGTCATGGGACTGGTCCAGTCAAAGGCTGGGTAATGGGCAATGCGAAGGCGAGACGGATTGCAACTTCCCAGCTGCAGAATCCAAGATCTGTGACTGTGTTTCACGTTCACGAGCGAGCGAGCAAGCGAGTGACTGACTGACTGAGTGAGCGAGTGAGAGGGCGCAGATAAAAGTAAGAACCACATACAAAGATGTGGGGAGAATCAATCACAAAGCCGTAAGAAAGGACGCACTTCCAGCAATCCTCCATTGGGTATGCAGGTGCAATGAAGCCTTGTTGTATGGAAAGAACTGAATGGACATGACTCGCCTGTCAAAGTTCTCATGCTTGTCAATGGCAGCTGCGATCTTTCCCGCATCAAACTCCTTAGGAACTCAACTTCTGTCAACAAGTGCGAGACTCGTTCGCAGACTCCAAAAGGAACTTGGTGGAAACTTGTCTGCAAGCGTTCTAATCTGCCACATCTGCCACCACGCATCAGACAAGCTTGGCACTTTCATTCGCAACTCGCGCTCTATTTCATGCCTGGAAACAGCACAAGCCCTGAGAACTAGAAATAACAAGCACAAGCTCTAAATGGATAGTTGACCAAAATCAAGGCGCAAAGCGCCTTCGGGCATAGCTTTGCTTGATGTCAGCATCTCGCTTCATGCCTCAAAGGAGTAAAGCAACGCCAGCAACGCACAACGCATAGGTTTGTTGATGTGTCTCTGTTTAATTTCCTAGCCTCGCAATCTCATACTGAAGTCGTAGAAGCGAATGAGAACCAGTGCAGGAATCAGCATCACTGCAACTGGACAGGGGCAATTCTGCCGAGGCCATGAAAAACCAAACTGAAAGAAGTTTGATATATACATATACATATCCGTAGGTGTATACATATATATATACATGCATATCCTACGAAAGTCACAAGCTTTAGAGGCCAAAATGTTTTTGCAAAAGGGATCAAAAGGGTGTACAGTGTATATGGGATAGGCAAAATTATGCAATTGAAAAAGACCTCTTTTCGTGGGCTTTATGGGCGCAAGATGTGCATTTGTCGAACCAGGTACCTAATACCTTCAACACAGACCATTCCCATCATTTGCAATGTAACTTTCCACTTCCTACAAAGCTGAAAGGCTAAATAAAGCCACTCACTCGGCTTTCTTAAAGTACGCATTTCCGGGAGGGAGGAGGACAAGAACTTTCCAGTTATATATATATATATATGTATATTGGTTCACTGACGTAGGCGGCATGCAAAGCATTCTCGGAACTCAAGAAACACACCAATTCAATTGGAAGCCAACGCTTTTTTGCACGAAGGACCCACCTCCCTTGACAAGACGGCAGCAGCTCCCTGCCCTCCTGCCTGCCCAAGAAACTATATAAATTCTCTCTTGCATGCTTCCACTGTTCCACACTTTCAAAGGCCCAGCAAGGGTAGACAAAGATCTGTCTTCACACAAAAAGAAACAAGTCAACGAACCACACAGCATAAAGAAGAGGAATAGTAAAGCGGGGTGCCTTCACTTTTGTCCCTTTGCGCAATACCTCGCTTAGAAAATCAACAGCCTGCAAGCTGCAAACCAAAGCTGGGACAAGCGACCTGTTGATGTGTCTTTGCAGCCGCCTGACGAATCTGACGTCTGGGGAAATCTAGAGACTGCAACCTGGCTTTAAGCAAGTCTTGCCTGCATTGCCGGCAGGTGTTGGAAGGTAGAGGTCCGGAGCATCATCCTTTCAAACATTCGAAGACCTAAAGAATGAAAACCTATGTTCAAGCAAGGTCTGAAGCGAAGCGAAGCCAGAAAGGCTCCTTTAGTAAAGCTGCAGCTGCATTGCCGGCCATTGAAAAAAGTAACAAAAACGCCTTTGGCCTTCTCTTCTTGAACAGGATGTTCTTGAGGCCATTGTGTGCTGTGCGATGTAATTCTTATTTGCTCAACTCAACACTTGGGTTCGCTGTTGGCTTTCTTCTCACCTTCTTGTTATCATCCACTCGCTTGTGTCGTTGAAACTGAAGCGCTGGCCATGCTACAATGCGTTAGCTTTCTTCGGTTGAAGACTCTGATTGAATCAATCTTCAAGCAACTCGCTTATCGCCTTGTCATTCTCCACGTCAAAGAAGAACATTGCGGGTTGCTTGTCACCCGCTTGAGGATGATTGTATATATATATATATACAGGTCGTTGAATTGTTTGTTTGTTCCGTCTTACCCACACATCCTATGGAACATGTACAACTAAATCAGTCGATAGAGCAGTAGTTTCAGAAGGCAACCTTCAGGTGCCAGCTGTGTTCAAGAGAAACACCAAAGCCCTTCCACTGTCTTTGTGAGCAACCAAGAACTGAAATTTTGTGCTTAGCGTCAACCGTGATCAGTGGCAGAAAGTTTGCCGTTCAACTCAAGGAGGCACAAGGCTTCTTCCAACAGAAGCACGGACCAATGGACTACCGGGTTCTACTGTGTTTCTTGGGGCCCACAAAGCCAGTACCTGAAGGTGTGTAAACTTGCCTGTTCCCTCTTGATACATTGAATACTGTACACCGTACACCTCAAATCCTCGAATGTTCTACTACTGAAGTGTCAGATAAGAAATCTCAAAGTAATGGATTGGAACATTTGTACCAGTGCGCAATATCCGCTCCCCGCCAACCGGCTAGGATCATGAGGCTTCAGGATCATTCGGCTGGAGTCCGCTGTGTACTTTTTCGCATGGCATGCTGAGAACTTGATCAAAAGATTCACTTCAATCTAGCGTTCGTCTTGTTATTTAAGCGAAGGTGTCCTAATCTTGTGAATATTTCCGTCATCCGACTGCCAAAGCCTTTCACGCACTTGCCTACATGGAGCTAAATGTGCTCCACCTACAAAAGAAATGTGTTGAATGCTCATACAGTTCCGCATCAGGGAGCTTTCTGAACAGTGAAGCAAAATGAAGCAAACCTCTTTTTAAGTTTACTTCTTTGCTCCATGAGATGGAAGGGCAAAATGCCAAAGAATTTTGGTGTGCTTCGCTCATAAGACCCTGCACGTGGCGGCTGCTTGGTGAACTACATCGCTAAAAAGACTAGCACAATACCTGTTCATGGTGCTGGGCCCCAAAAAATACGATTCACAAGTCAAAAGCAATGGCAGTTTAATCCTAATTCCAAGCACTTCTTGGGGGCCTTTTTCAGTCAATTGGATCTATCCACCATCGCAAATCTGCCCGCGCCAGGTGCTCAGGGGCGAACACTTAGAGCGTTGGCTCGCGTGCTGTTCGTTCGGAACGGAGGGGAAGTGGTGGTGGAAAAATAACGTAAGGCTTTGCAACATTTCATGTAGGGGGTGGTGTGCCACATCTGGGACAGGGCATGCCATGAAGTGGTACGCTTGCAGTGAGCAATGAATCCAATTGTTGACAGGAATTGTTGTTTGCCTGTCTTTGACCTGGTGATGCTAATGATGCAATAATAGTACTGACATTTTGAAATCAGCGGTAGTTATCATTGCTGTCATCATTTATTTTGTGAAGTTCATTGATATCACTCTAAGTGGCAAAGAAGTGCTTGGGGCTTGAGTCTTTTTAGCGCTGTAGTTCACCAAAAAGCCTTCACTGAAATGCTTCAGGAAACACACCAAAAATGTTTTTGCATGTGTCCGTTCCATCGAAGTACATAAACGGTGCCGCCGCGAAGACGAAAAAATAGGGAGGGGGTTTTCTCTGTGAAGTCGTTTCCTTTCATACCTCTATAAGAAGAAATTGACTCTGCCTCTTCAGTTTGTCATCTCTCAAATAGTTTGTCTGGCGGTGTCAATGGATGAAATTACGCACCTCGCCAATCCAGGTAAAAAGAAGAAGAAGAAAAAGAGAATCGTTCGCTGCAGGCTATTGCAAATTGTAGAATTGTAAATGCATTACTAATGAAATGTGGATGACTCTCCACTGTCTCATCGCGAAGTACAGTAAACTCTACGAAAGTCTGACCAAATCATCGCCGGGACATGATTACCCATTCAAATCAATGTTATACCTTATTTTCACTGGTATGATGCAGAGGCCTCTGTATTGAAGTAGAATCTTGCTTCTCCGAATCACCAACTGTCCTTGTCAGCGCTAAATGTGTATATATATATACAGCCATGTGTGTTGCTTGTTTTGCTCGTTTCGGAAGCATAGCTGAGCACTTTCAGTTGTCACCCAAAAACACATCATGTCGAGACTCTCTGAAGAAAAATACTTCTGAAACTCCCAGAACATACGAGGACACACAACCCATGCTGTGCTCTGGGTCAAGGTTGCCGCGAGCCTATGAGGGCCTGCGCCACTGTGCGTTGCAAATGCCAAATTGCTTTAATTGTGCCTCTTGCGGTGCCCGTTGCTATACACATCTACGAATGCCTGTCCCGTTGGCTTGCCAGGGTGTCTGCGTGGTATTTATGTAAATCGTCTCATGCTTGTTACGCTGTTTTCCTGAGATTTGGCTGCACTTGTCTTATGTTGCACTTGGTGTTCGAAAGTGAGAAGGTCTGGTCTGGCGCTCTAAAAAATAATCGCGGGCCTTAGTCTACACAGTCTACGCATAACAAGGGTGGGAAGTGCCTTGACGACGGTGCCTACTTTTTGATCCCCAGAAAATACTTGGCAATGCACAGCCCAAGAAGCCAGCATCATATGCATTCCGAATGCCTTGGAAACCCTTAGAGCCTTAGAGCAACCCACGCCATCCTAAATCACTACCATCTACCTTATCAAAGTTAGCATCATATGTATTCTAAATGCCTTTGAAACCAATAGGTTGCAGCCCAAGTCTTTCAAAGGTTTTGGCAACCCAACAAGCCAGCATCAATACGCATTCTGAATGGTTTGGAAAGCACATAGCTTGACAGTGTTTTGGGTTTGTTTGAGAAAACGATGGGCTGCAGAAGGCTACGCCAAACAATCAAAACAAGTGCCGATATCAATGTGATACATGTATTATTGAAGAGTATTGAAGAGTTAGTACCTATTGTCCTCAACGACTGTAGTATCGAATTGGAGAGAGAGAGAGAGAGAAAGAAAAAGAGATTGATCCATCTCCCTTGAATCTTACAAAAGAAACTGTCTGGTTGCATTGTTTTGCATTGGTGCCCTCTGTGCGAACACATGACACATGGCATCTGTGCCATTCCCCTTCCTCTTTCTTGTGAACAATCGATCTAGAAATATACATAAGTATTGTTTTTTGTTTGCACAGCATGAATGCTGGCAGCTTATGCGTCTCTCTGAATAGAGCTCTACATTATAGTGTTCCAACTGCCGCGCGTCTGCAACAAGCAGGTTGATATGATACCATTCGATGGTCAAAGTGTTATCAGCAAAAACAGTCACCACTTAATGACAATGAATACGTTCCATCACCTCGAATGTCTTGAGACTAAGGGACAACCAACACTCGTCTCATCAAACATGGCTGTCATCAAAAGTGGTGCTGCATTTAAATCGGCCAATATATAGATCTTTGCAGTGGCCCTTAGCCTGTGAGGTGAAAATTGCAAATGCACAAGCACTGTTTTGTGTGAGCCACCTTCCGATCCAAGAATCCAAAAAGTGTTACAGCGCTTACGTGAGTCGGCCCTGGCTCTCTCCTCGGAAAAACATAGAACAACGAGGGAGAAAGACAGCTTGGCCACAGAATTCGGTGGACCTGTTCGCCAATTCAAAGGGCTTGTCAAACTTCCAGGACAGGTTCACTGTGGATCCAGAGCGGAGCTTCGGGTTCTGCAAGTGTTTCTGGAGGAGGTACAAAGCCGGTCCTTGTTGGGGGTTCCTAATTTTTGTGCAACACTGGAGGCAAAACATTTCACACACTGGGAATTTCTGGTCTGAGGTTTATCAGTACAGTAAGTGGAGGTCTCTCTAACCCCAATCACATGGGCATGTTGCGATTCTCGGCTTGATGAGCCTCTTTGTTAGTACCAGTCTCATCAGCACCCCATGTGTCACTTGAATTTGACTTGGCTGTGCTCTCAAAGAAGTTCTGATGAACTGCACATTCTGCAGTGCGCACATACACACACCGAGCAGTTTGGCATTTTGCTGTAAGGGCGGCATGTCCTAGAACTCATGTTTCCGCGTGGAAAACTTCTTGTGTAACTCAGCACATGTTCTTCATTGTTCTTCATCATATATATATATATATATTGATTGATTGTACCACCCAACAAAAAAACAAAACAACAGTGTTCATGATCTTGAGATGCTGCAGGTCATTATGCTCCAGATACTTAGGCTACACGGTGCGTTTGCAACCGACTGCAAACGCTGCAGGTCTTTGTGGTGCAGCTATTAGACTATATGGTGCGTTTGCACTCGGTTGCAAACGACAACGATTTTAAGATTGTAAGATGTTTACTCTTTAAGATCCAGGAAAATTTCTTGAATACCAGTGACTGGGTTCTAAGAATCTAAGATTATAAAGACTTTAAGATGCCAAGATCCAGGAAATTTTCTTGTATACCATCATGTGCCTGGATTTTGGTTTCCAAGAAGTTTTCCTGGATCTCAAACTCTTCAAAACTTAAAATATGAAAATCCAGGCACTGGTTTTCAAGAGTTCTAAGATCTTAAAACCTTCAAGTCTTAAACTCTTGTAGTCTGGAAAATTTAAAAACCATGGGCGTTTGCAAACGGTTGTGTTTCATGAAAGTGTGTGCCCAGGGCTGTTGCAAATCCTAACTGCATACCTACTCCAGCCTCCGTCGGGGCAATCTTGCTTCTTGTTTCTTGCTTTTGATGTGCTTTGAAGCGCTTTGAAGAACTCAACGTGCAAAAAATCCCAAGACAAGGAATGGCAAAACCAAGATTGATGTCCCTTAGTGCTCTGCAATCTTGCTTCTTGCTTCTGGCTTTTGAGGTGCTTTAAAGCGCTTTAGAGCACTCAGCAAAAATAAAAAGAAAACATCCTGAGA